AAGGAAGACTATGCGTGCTTGTTGAAGAAATCCTTGTATGGATTAAAGCAGTCATTGAGACAGTGGTATAAGAAGTTTGATTCATTCATGACTACTCATGATTTTGATAGATGTAATTATGATAGTTGTGTGTACTTCAGAAAGGAAAGTAGTGGATCAACTACATGGTTAATCCTGCCAAGGACCATTGGAAAGCAGTGAAGTGGATCTTCAGATACTTGAGGGACTCTTCAAATGCTTGTTTGCATTTTGGTAGAAATTCAGATGGAGTCATAGGTTATGTGAATTCAAATTATGCATGGGATCTTGATAAGAGGAGATCGCTTACAGTGTATGTGTTTACTCTTAGTGGCTGTGCTATCAACTAGAAAGCTATTTTGCAAAATACAGTGGCTTTGTCTACAACAGAAGTAGAATATATGGCAATTACAGAAGCATGTAAGGAGGCTATGTGGTTGAAAGGATTGATTGGTGAAATCAGTGAAGATGTGCAGATTTCTATAATTTTCTGTGATAGTCAGAGTGCAATTTTCTTGACTAAGGATCAAATGTTTCACGAAAGGACTAAGCACATTGATGTGAGGTACCATTTTGTGCGTGATGCTATTGCTAGTGGTGATATTTTAGTGAGCAAGGTTGATACTAAGGATAATCCTGTTGATATGATGACAAAACCACTTCCTCTTGCTACGTTTGAGCATTGATTGAACTTAGTGGGTGTTTGTCATTGATTTAGTCCATTGGGGCTTGTTTGGAAGAGGAGAAATGATGTTTACTTGAAGATGTGTTTTAATTTCTTGTGATAGAATTTGGCTCAAGGTGAAGATTTGTTGTGGTGTGATCCAAATTCTATGTGATTTGGTATTTTGTTGATTGGATTTCATGTGATTTGGGATTTTGTTAATTGAAGGAAGTCTAAGGTACTTGCGTTTGAAAAATCCTAAGTTGTGAAAATCAAATTTTCATAATAATTAGGAGTTTGACTTGAAAATGGACTCTTAGATGGTAAAAAGACATGTTTTGAAGTATTTACTCGAGACCTAGAGCCTGAGTGCTAGGCGTGCGCTGCACTTAGCGCCCAAGTGCTGTAACAGTAACGCCTAGGTGCTGCAACAGTAACCTGATCTCGATTTTTCCGTTTTATCCGAATTTTTGAACTTCTTCTCCATCTTGGACTCTAATAAGAGGGTTTATACATATTTCCACATTGTATCTTCATAATATAATATTCATATATTATTCTTTACATTTTCACCAACAAATTGAGAGATTGAGAGTTTAGATTTTAATTGAGATTATTGAAATCTTAATATTGTAAACACAAAATTATTGATTATAGTGGATTGTTCTCCTCTGCCTATGNAAACACAAAACTATTGATTATAGTGTGGATTGTTTTTCCTTGCCCGTAATTTTTTCCCGAATTGGGTTTCCACGTAAATTCTTGTGTTCTTTTTTTTTCTTCATTATTTTATTATTGTCATTATCTTGCGATCTGTTTCATAACAATAATAACAATAATAATAATAATAATTTATTTTTTATTTAATATTATAAACACTATAGAAGAATAATTTTTTTTCGCAATGTTGTTCTCATTTTCTTTTCGTAAATTTAGATCATATTTGGTATTATTATATTGAGTACAAAAGGAAATAATTAATTAAATTTTACTATTTATGTTGTTCAATCTTGTATTCTTGTCTTATCAAACACGCATTCACAAAATATCTCTTCCCACCTATTTATCTAATGAACACCATTATTTTTAGAAAATTCAAAATATTTACGTGTAAAACTGTTCGTCTTTTCACTAAGGACGTTCTTATTGTTGAGATGGTTCTTGATTAGACGGTTTGACTTAAAAACTTAAAAATATTAGGGACATGTTTGAGTCACATTATTTTTTTCATTCCCATTCTTCTATTCATTTTAACCAAACATTTTTCAATAAAATAATATTTTACATCACATCAATAATTTTTCCTTATTTTTCAACCACACATTCCTCATTACATCAACAGTAAAAATGCATTCTTTTTCCAAAAATGTACACCAAACGGGGCCTAGACCCTAATTCATTAGAGTAATAAAATAAGATTATAGATTGGATTTAGATCAACAATTCTAGGAGTTTGTGGTGTCATTTATTGTTTGTAATAGAGTAATAATTTTTATTCTTGGCTAAGCTGCCTAACTCCAACCATATTATGTCAATTAGAGTTTTTATATTTTTATCGATGTGTGTGACACGGGCCGGGCTAAGTAAACTATTTGATTCAATAGCTTTTGAAGCTATCTTCTGGCAAATCTTTTGTCTCTTCTTGTTTGAAGGATTATAAAAACGACATTTTTTTTTTCTCTCTGAATGCTTGAGCGAGCTGCCAGATTTGAGGCGATGTTGAGGCTGGAGGTTGAGACGGTGGCGGCCTGCAGTTGAGTGGTTTTGATTTTTGAGTGAGGGGGTTGGAGAAGAAAGAGATGAGGGTGGGTAGATGTGGTTTTGTATTTTTGTTTCTTAATTTTTGATTTAAGTATTTATCTTTGTAAAAATTGTAAATTCACAATGTTACTCTTTTAAAAATTGGTTAAAATAAGTCATATTTTATTATCCTGGACTTCTAATAGTCAAATTAACGAAAACCATCAATTTGGACTTTAGGTGAGAATTTTTGAATGTTTGATATAATGGATGACATAAATAAAAGGTTTGAATCAAGTTTGCTACTAAATGAAAGATTTAATATTGTAGCTGCAATTTTTTAAAAATAAATTAACCCTATTTCTAATAGCCATGTGTTCATCATATCAAGGGGTTTCAAATTGCTTGTTGACTTAACTCGTTTCCCCACGAACTCATAGGTCGTGCCAAGCTTGACCCAATAGCTCGTAGGTGCTGCAAGATAGGACTTGGTGAGCTCATGAGTTTTTTTTTTCCTCGTACTTCACGTTAAAAAAAACGTTAAAAGTGAGTTGATCCAATTTGATTTGTCATTAGTCGGGTTTAGGACCTAATCCCAACGAGTCGAGCCAAACCATTACCCTGATTATACGTAATTCCAAACTTTTTCTCACATAATTTTAAATTATTAAACAGGCAAATTCTTACCTAAAGATCTAGATGGTCGTTTCCATGTATGAAAACAGGTGTATACGGCTTGAAAATAAATTAGCACGTTAGGTATTAGTAACGTACAATTTGTCCATAAGTTTCGTGTATACCAAAAAGTCCAAATCAAATCCATCCATCAGTTTGCCTGGAAAATATCCCATGACCCATGTGCTACCATCACAAATAAACCAATGGGCAATGGATATACAGTTCTTCTCATCGAGGTGGATTTAACTATAGGGTTAAATACTTTTTGGTCCTTAAAGTTGCTACAAAATTTCAATTTAGTTTCGTTTATTTCAAATGAATCACTCAAATTTTCAAACTATCATATATAATCACTTCCCGTTAGCAAGACTGACATGAAAGCCTATATCTACGCCCGTGTACTAATGGTACATTAATCAAATTCTTATGAAACCCTTAGAAATTTGATTTTAATAAAACCAATTGAGAGAGATACTCCATTTAAGGTTTGTGTGGCAAGTGAATTAATGTCTATTTAGTATGCAACAAATTTAACAGTCTACATGAGAATTTTTTAATTTAATTAACAAAGTGAATTTACTAAAACAATTGGAAAACTCCGTCGACTGATTTGGAATAACATAGAATTTCACTGCATCAGAAATTGAAAACGAGCATAGGGGAATAACGGTGCCACCATACTGATAGGTTGGGATGTTGATGACAATAAAATTAGACTGGGAACCAACTTGCAATAAGTTCAATAGATTGCGTACAATACTGAAAATCTCAACAAGTTAAATTATAAAGCAAGTAAGAAAGAGAATGGGAGGTGAGACTACGCCTGGTGGTCCCCACTCTAACTGACCGGATTCCAAACCAAATTTAAATCCGGTTTAATTCTAGAATATAAAATTAAAAAATTACTACAAACGCAAATGAGAGACACAAGGTAACAGATGAATAGACACGTCAAAGAAAAGTACTTCCCACGCTCCACGTCACATCATTACTCTTTACCCATCTCATTTTCTCCACTATATAAATCCTCATTTCTTGCTCTCGAGATTCATCACATCTGCTACAATTCATTTCAAATTTCAGGGTTTTATTTTTGGTATATGATTTTATTAAACTATGGAACAAGAAGAGTTGAAGAAGAAGAGAGTACGAGATGGCTTGGTGGAGTTGGATGAAGAAACTCCGTCGGCTGAGGTGAAGAGGCTGAAGGAAGACCTTTTGGAAAATTTGGAGGATGACCCAAATTTTGTTTCATGGAATCCGGATCTGGATTCCTTCATGATGAGCTTTCAGAAAGAGATTAATGGTGGGTCCCCGCCTCCTGAGGTGGTGGATCTGACGTCGCATTCCGGTGAGTCGCAGCCGGAGTTGGGATACTTGTTAGAAGCTTCGGATGATGAGCTTGGTCTTCCGCCTTCCACGGCATCGCCGAGTAGTGTGGAGAATGATGTAATGAATGAGTTGATCCGAGTTGAGTCTGACTTGTCCGAACTCGGTCACGGTTTTTGGGGGTTTGATGGGGAGATCCCAAGTTATTACTCTTTTGAGTTCGGAGTCTTTGAATCGGAGAATTATGGTAACGGTGAATATGTAGCTCTAGATGGGTTGTTTGATTATTGATTTCGGATCGAATGGTTTTGTATTGAGATCTGAAATTCGCCGGCCCAATTGGACCGGTTTTTGGTCCCTAGCCCTAGGCAAAGAATATTGTAAAGGTTTATTTATTATCAAGGTTAAAGCAACCTCAAACTATACAATGTTACGTTCTGGTTCTTGGATTTTTAGTTATTTTCTTTTCGGTCCCTGAGGATTGGGTCCCTGTTAGAAATAGATTACATAAATTTATTTGTGGTCCTTGAATTTTTAGTTATTTTCATTTTTAATATGATGATAAATATTTAAAAGAAAAATTAGAGATTTGGATCAAAGCCAAAATGACACTTAGGCTGCGTTTTATTGTTAATAATTTTCAATAGAAAATTTATTTTTTCATTTAATTTCTTACTTTTCTATTGTTTGACTAATAAATTTTTTCACGGAAAAATATTTTCTTATTTTTGATCACTTGATTATATTTTTCATGAAAAATATTTTTTGAGGAAGAGGTAAATTTTTATTTTTTAGGTAATTCACCTTTCGTTCTCTGTCATATATGATATATTCCACTAGAGGTGTCAATTCGGGTGGTCCGGGCCTGGTGTCCCGCCAACATGTGAGTTCGGTAATGGCCCGCACGAAAAAAAATCTGCCCGCTGTTGGTTTCGGGCCGGTTACGGGTCGGTCCACAATTTTGGACTACAATTCAAGCCCGCCCGCTGACCCATCCGGGTCGAGCCCATGCGGGTCACGGATCGCGCGGGTCGCGATTCGTTTCGATTTGGAACGTATGATTGTATAAATAAAATT